AACCACCCACTCCATCTGAATCAATGGTTACTTCTGAAGCTGTCACTGAACCACCCACTCCATCTGAATCAATGGTTACTTCAGAACCAATCACTGAACCATCCACTCCACCTGAATCAATGGTTACTTCTGTACCAGTCAGTGAACCAACAACCACATCTGAAACACCGGTTGAAACTGAACCAGTTACTGAGCAAAACAGTCCATCTGAATCAATGGTTACTTCTGAATTTGTCACTGAACCACCCACTCCATCTGAATCAATGGTTACTTCTGAAGCTGTCACTGAACCACCCACTCCATCTGAATCAATGGTTACTTCAGAACCAATCACTGAACCATCCACTCCACCTGAATCAATGGTTACTTCTGTACCAGTCAGTGAACCAACAACCACATCTGAAACACCGGTTGAAACTGAACCAGTTACTGAGCAAACCAGTCCATCTGAATCAATGGTTACTTCAGAACCAGTCATTGAACCATCCACTCCACCTGAATCAGTTTTTACTTCTGAAACTGTCACTGAACCATCCACTCCATCTGAATCAATGGTTACTTCTCTACCAGTCAGTGAACCATCCACTCCATCTGAATCAATGGTTACTTCTGAACCAGGCACTGAACCATCCACTCCACCTGAATCAATGGTTACTTCAGAACCAGGCACTGAACCTTCCACTCCATCTGAATCAATGGTTACTTCTGAAGCTGTCACTGAACCACCCACTCCATCTGAATCAATGGTTACTTCTGAAGCTGTCACTGAACCATCCACTCCACCTGAATCAATCGTTACTTCAGAACCAGGCACTCAACCACCAACTCCATCTGAATCAATGATTACTTCAGAACCAATCACTGAACCATCCACTCCACCTGAATCAATGGTTACTTCTGTACCAGTCAGTGAACCAACAACCACATCTGAAACACCGGTTGAAACTGAACCAGTTACTGAGCAAACCAGTCCATCTGAATCAATGGTTACTTCAGAACCAGTCATTGAACCATCCACTCCACCTGAATCAGATTTTACTTCTGAAACTGTCACTGAACCATCCACTACATCTGAATCAATGGTTACTTCTGTACCAGTCACTGAACCATCCACTCCATCTGAATCAATGGTTACTTCAGAACCAGGCACTGAACCATCCACTCCATCTGAATCAATGGTTACTTCTGTACCAGTCACTGAACCTTCCACTCCATCTGAATCAGTGGTTACTTCTGAAGCAGGCACTGAACCATCCAGTCCATCTGAATCAATTGTTACTTCTGTACCAGTCAGTGAAACAACAACCACATCTGAAACACCAGTTGAAACTGAACCAGTTACTGAGCAAACCAGTCCATCTGAATCAATGGTTACTTCAGAACAAGTCACTGAACCATCCACTCCACCTGAATCAATGGTTTTTCCTGAACCAGTCACTGAACCATCCACTCCATCTTTATCAGTACTTCCACCGAAATTACCAAAGTCTGGGGAGCCTACATCTAAATTGCCACCTCTTGCGATACTAACAGCGGAACCCACAACTGTACCTAAGTCACCAACATCTATAACAGATTCCCTACACCCCTATGAAATAGGACCAGGAAATAAGTCCCCAACACAGTATTCTGTTCTTCCTCAACCTGATCATGATGTTCCACCTGGACCAGTACTTGAGATACATCCTGCTAGTTTCCCTAACATGCTGCCCAAAAAAGGGCACAAGCTACATAGACCATGGGTAAGGCGCAAGTGTTACAGAGGTTAAATGATGGTGATGATAATGAATATGATCAAGTAAATCAATCACCCTCCAAAATCCTAGAAAGCAAAAATGTCTGATTGTGTTGTGTTATAAAAAATAAATTACAATTTACAATAAAATTGTTTTGTTATCCAATGTAATCGCTTTATCTAACAAAAGTTTTGGAAATGTGAAAGTATAATTCAAAAACACATAACAAACCTTTTTTCCTCTTTCTTTTATTTAAATGTAATTAAATATGGACAAATGGTAGACTACTTAAAATAAAGTATTATCCATATTATTTCAACTCTTTTATAAGTTTTGCTGCTCTGGTTGCTTGATTGAATGATTATTCTTTTAGGGATTATACAACAATTCCTTAACTGACCTATAAAAGGGTCATTATTAGAGTTATTATTGTTTCAGTATTGAAATATCATCAGTCTCTTAATTACTGTATAGGCAACTTATCAAAAATACAAATAATTGAATTAATTATGAGGTTTAAAAATTATTTTTTATACTAATTATTTGGTCAGTATGCAGTCTGCATGGTCAGTGTTTATGGTCAATATTTATCAGCCTTTAGCGTGTCAGTGTGGTGTCACCCATTATGACCCTATGCAAAGAATCTGCATATGGCAAAAAATAAATAAATACAAAACTTATATGTATTAACAATTGTATGTGAAAAAAGATGATCAAATGATAACCGTTAAAACGTCTTAATGCATTCTTAATCATCCAGGAAAGTAAATCTCCAAAAGTTGATTCTGTTCATCTGGACGTAGCGTTTTGTGGGAGAAACGTTTCGTCACTCATCCAAGTGACTTCTTCAGTCTCAGCTGACTGCAGGTTTCCCCAATCTTATAAACAGTACATTTGCATAATGACTGAAACCAGCCCACTGAGGAACAATTCACGGATCACATTGACTCAGTGGACCGACACATCAAATTCACCAGGGAGGATATGAAAAGTGGCAGGTTAGCCTTCTTAGACTGTGAGATTTCCATCAGTAATGGGGGACATCTAAAAGCTGACATGTACCCTAAACCTACGCATACGGATCAGTATCTAAGGTTTGACTATCATCATCCACTGGAGCACAAACTGGGTGTTATTAGGACGCTACAACACAGAGCGAACACCATCCCCACTGACACAGCGGCCAGGGAGGCAGAAGAACAGCACATCAAGAAGGCCCTGAGTAAATGTGGTTATCCCAACTGGACTTTTGTCAAAGCTGGGAAGGCACCTAAAGAAAGATCCAGCCGATCCAGGAGAGAAGAACAACCAAATTTTTTCTAAACACCGGGTTTCTGTGGCTTTTAAACCCCAAAACATGCTGCGCCAAAAATTGGTCCACCCCAAGGATCGGGTCCCCCGATACAAACAGAGTAACATAGTGTACGCTGTTAAGTGCCAGGAGGATTGCCAGGATTTATACATCGGGGAAAACAAACAACCTCTGGCGAAGCGGATGACACAACACAGAAGAGCTACCTCGTCAGGCCAGGACTCTGCAGTCTATTTACACCTACAGGCCAGTGGACACTCTTTCAATGATGAGGATGTGCACATCCTGGACAGGGAGGAACGCTGGAGTCAAGGAGGCCATTTACGTGAAAAGGGAAAGACCATCTCTGAATAGAGGAGAAGGCCTAAGGGCACATCTTTCGCCATCTTACGATGCTGTGATTGCAGCCATTCCCCAACTCTCTGTGAATGGTACGCATGGCCATTGATCAGTGGTCTTTGATCAGTGGGTTTTGGTCAGTGGTTGTTGATCAATGGTCATGAGAATTTGCATAATTAAGATTAAGGAACTGACCTCCCAGCCCATTGTTCCTTCAGTGGGCTGGTTTCAGTCATTATGCAAATGTACTGTTTATAAGATTTGGGGAAACCTGCAGTCAGCTGAGACTGAAGAAGTCACTTGGATGAGTGACGAAACGTTTCTCCCACAAATCGCTACGTCCAGATGAACAGAATCAACTTTTGGAGATAACCATTAACAACATATAATCACTGGCCACTTTTTAGGTCAAACTGTTTTGCTAACATAACTAAGTAATGAGTCATATTCAGACATGCAGACAATAATGGGGACAAAATGTGATTTAAGTGACTTTGAACATTGGTGCGTTACAGGCTGGTCTGAGTAATTCTGAATCTGCTGATCTGCTGGGATTTTCCCACTCAGCCATCACTCATGGGTTTAAAGAGAATGGTGTGAGAAAGGTAAAATATCCATGACGTTGCAATTTGCATGGGCTTACCAAAATTGGACAATAGAAGACTGGAAAAACATTGCCTGTTCTAATGAGTCTCAATTTCTGTTGTGATGTTGTGTCCTTGTCTTCGCGTTACAGCCTACCTAAGGTTGTCACCCATTTCTATCACTTTATGACCACAGCAGACACATATTCTGATGGATAACACCCCATTTCACAATCATCTCAAAGTGGTGTCTTTAATATAACAACTGTACTCAAAATAAATAAATAAATGAATATATGAATACATAAAAATAAATAAATAAAACACAGTCCCCAATTTAATACAGCACCTTTGGACCTTTGGAGGTCGCAGTGGTTGTGGATGGGGGCTTCACATGTGCAGCTGACAAATCTGTAGCAACTGTGTCACACTATTATGTCAATATGGACCAAAATCTCTGACGAATATTTCCAGCACCTTGTTGAATCTATATGAATTAAGGCAATTCTGAAGGTGAAAGGGTCTCCAACCTGGTATTAGCCAGTACCTAATAAAGTGGATAGTGAGTGTATACAGTATGTTCACAAAAAGCCCTGTTAGGTTTTCATATGGGATACTTATTAATCTACAATTAAATCGACAAATATGCCCACAAACTTATTTTTGTCACATGGCGACTGGCACACAGGTGTGTCCCTGAGGCCCTCTAGTGGATCTTTTGGGAACTGCCTAAGCACAAATAAACGGGGGCTACATGTAATATAGCCTATTAGGAAAACTCAGCGTATTGTATTATAACTATTTATTGACTTACCTACTACGTAACGACTAATATCCGAGTGGGTAATATGTTTTAATACTATATTTCTTGCACACTGGCCTGGCAGGTTAGTGTGCTTATTACCTGTATTTCCTGGTTTGCTCTTGCATAATTAATCAGACGAACACGGATGGAGTCACATTTCGTCAGGTTGTAACTCGCTGGATTCCCAGCATGTGACTCCGGCACGCTGGTCGTCTGCTGGCTGTTTGCTGTGTCAAGAAAAGAAAAACCCGAACTTCCTTGTATCGACTCACTACTCAAACAGAGAAAGCTTCGCATCAGCCGCGACAGCTGCCGACAACCCTGTTGTGTCTTCACGGCAAACCCGAGAGGGATAAAAGACGCATTTGGCACATTTTAATACACCGGTAAGTTTCTTTCTGTGAACTTGTGAAAAAGTGAAAACGGAAAACTAAACTAAACCTCTGTGTTCTCATCTTTTCCGCACCGGCAGATAGACATTTCCAACAGGAATGCCAAACGTGTGGTAGAAGTGCTGCTTTTCTTTGTTTTACCTCAAATTGTAAAGTAACTTTTTTTTGAGATTCACCCAGCTGTAAATTTAGTGTCATAATATGACGAAGTCATTCAAAAACAACAGTAACAAAACACAGGATTAGTGTAAGAACATCTTTAATAAGAACACAAAAAGTAGTTCGAATACAAATAAAGTCAGTCTGAGATAAAGGGAAATGTAAGGTTAAAGTGTTAATAGTTTAAAAAACGATCACAACCGAAATTCACCTCATTAGCACAAAATATTTACAGGAATAAGAGAAGAAGCTAAACAGTTTGTTAACTGTTAATTGCCTACAATAAAGGAAATGTTTACTGTTGTTTAAATCATTATATTATATGATATTATGTTATAATATATTATGCTTTTAATCCATAACTGTAGTAAATAGTTACACATTAAATTTAGCTATACTGAACTTTCTTACAGCAACTTCTAAGCTCTGCTTTCATCGATACTCAGTTATGATACTGATATTGTACTGGATTTATTACTGATGCCCAAATAATAATAATGCTAATGTTTAACTGGTTCACACATTTTGCTGATTGTGTGTATTTACAGGGCTCCGGTTTCTGTTGATCAATGAGCTGACTAATCTGTTTTCCAAATAGGTGTGACATGAGTGGGCTTCACCCACTGAGAAGAGATGAATACTGATGTTTTACTCTGCCCAGCTGTGCAGACGTGGAGTAAAACCCTCATTTCAGAGCCACACCGCCACACACACTGCCACACATCTGCATGGGTCTCTCCTTCACTGCTCCCACTTCACGACTCTTGCCGTCCTTTCTGTGAGACCATGTACCCAGGTGAACTTGACCCGAACACGGACCCGCAGCTCTTGGAGTCCAAGTTGGACTTCTTCCACAAGCTGGGCTACTCCACGGCTCAGGTACAGGCTGTTCAGCAGAAGTTCGGCCCCAACATGGACACGGATAAAGTGCTGGGGGAGCTGGTTCGGATCGGGCCTGTTCAGGAGGCCAATCAGGGGCCGGTGACCACAATGTCGGTGCTGGTGTCCAGAGGAGAAACCCAGCCATCGGGCCCTACACTGCTGCTGCCTGTAGCTGGTACTTCTCCTCAGAGCAAAGAGGAGACTGGCGAGGAAGGAAAGACTTTGAGACCCGTCGTTATAGACGGCAGCAATGTGGCCATGAGGTGAGCAAACTAATCAGTAGCTAGACTGATACTGAGTGATTGATTATGATATCGGTTAAAGCTCATGAATATGCCACCCAAGTCCATTTTCTAACAGAAATCTCCCAAATCCACTGTTTAAAGCTCCTGCGTGCTCCACCGATCATCTGATTGATCCAAAATTGAAAACAGAATCATTATTGTGTCTCATGACTTGTAAATAATGTTTTTTATGCAGTATTGTCCAAAATTCACAGGTTAAATGTCAGAGAATTTCTATTTCTGCATTATGGAGTTTCTATCTATCAGAGCTGCAGTGATTATATGATAAGGCAATAATACTTTCAGTTGGTTTTCACTCAAAAAGCAGATGAATGAGCTGCTCTTGTCTGTTTTGAATAATGTAGAACCACAACGATTAATCAGTTAATCAAAGTTTAATATGCAAATAACTGTTTATGCTAAATGAGCTATTTCATCTTCATACTTGAGAATACTTAGTGCCTCTGTTTATGATCCTAAGCTGTATTTTGGGGGTTGAACTGAGGAAAATTAGATATAACAGGCATTTACTAAATTTTCTGTCATTTTACAGAGAAATCCGTTAATTATCTTAGAAAATAGTCTGTAGATTTATTTCTAATGAATATAATAATACATTTCTGCCCTAACAAAACCCTTTTTTCTGCTGTAACTAGGATAGATAACTTCTGTTTTCAGTCAAAGAAAGTAGATTGGTTAATTTTTGGTTTTATCGTGATTCTCACAGCAGCTACACAAGCTATTTTCAATCTTAGTGCGGCTTTGAGGTTACCAGGCATAAAGTCCTTGACATTTAACTACACCACAACTCCCCCACTGATTTAATTCAGTTTTTTTAAGAGATCCAATTCCTTCTAATTGTATGACAATCAGCTAAAATCAGGTCATTGTGACAGTCAGCTTCCATCTGCAGTTTCATTCACAGTTTCAGTTAGGAGTAGGAGTTGACTGAGTGGGAGGTTGTCTGGTGACAGCCTGTGCGCAGGGGTCCAGCAGCGTTAGATGCTTCATTTACCTTTCAGCACGTTTAAACCCAGAACAAAAGCAGCTTTTTAAACACAAATAGGTTAAATTATGCTCTTCAGGTGGTGTCATATCTCTTTATCTCTTTTTTTCTGGTTTGGTTTTTTAATCAAAATGTGGAAACAGCGTGGATTTTAGAATAGAATAGAATAGAATAATCATTTAATTGTCCCACAAGGGGAAATTTGGTTGTAACAGCAGCAAGAAAAACACATATACAAACAAACTGTACACAGGACACAGAACATATTTACAAAGATTATTTATAAATGAATTGTTATTTACTCAACTGTAAGGGTAATAAATCATTGTTATAACTTATAGATGCCTCTATGAGGATGGCAAATAATTGTTAAAACCTGATACAAGATTATCAATCAATCAATCAATCTTTATTTATAAAGCACTTTTCATACAGAGAAAATGTAGCACAAAGTGCTTTACATAGTTAAAAGCAGCCCACCCCACCCTCCAACTCACTCCCCACACTCTCAATACACATATATCCCCCACCCACACACACATACACACACGCGCACACTTAAGAGTAAAAATTGGGCTGGGCTCGCATGAGCCAAGTGAGGAAACACTATAACAGGGAGCCGTCTGCACCGGGAGCCGGTCACAGACCGCAGCCTCCAGGCTGGGCACACAGCAGGAGGGAGGCAAAGGAGCCCCCCAGCCAGGCTGAGAGGACCCCAGAGACCCAGCAGCCACGGTCAATAACAGCCCCGGTGCAGAGAGCGCCCTCCGAGGAAACACTGGAGATATGACGCAATACAATATATATAGGGTAAAATGATAAAATAAATAAGAACAGGATACAATATAAATATAAATAGAATAAGAAGATTAAAAATGAATAAGAATAAAATCAAACAAATATTAGGTAAATCCTAATTAATAATAGAATAACAGGATAGAATAAATAAGCATAAAATAAATATATTATAAAGCATAAAATAAATATATTATAAATTATAAAGTCAAATGTTAACAAGCTGGTGTAAAAAGCATTTGTTAACATGGCTGTTAAACTCATTTTACATTGTGGGCCAAATACAGCCCACTTTAATCTTAAGTGCGTCAGACCAGTGAATGATGAATATTTTTTTCTTTTTTGTTTTGTTTTGATGTTTTTGCTGTGAACCCACCGTAAATTTTTTTAATTTTTTTTTATTTTTTATTTTACAGTAGATAGTGAAAAAACAAGATCTATGTGGTGGGTCTTTATCAGTGGGGAAAATGAAATATGTGAAACGTACATAATACGAAAATGCAATTGTAAAAAGTGTAAAATTTATGTCCTCTTTCACATTTTCTGAAAGTTGTGCAGTGATTGGAGTCTTTGGAAAATGTAAAAAGTTTTGTGAAATTCTGGCCCCAGGGCCTTAATTTGACACCCCTGATTTAGAGCAATGCTCAAATCTCTCTCTTTTTTTATTACGAGCCAAGCTTTCCTTTCTCGTGTCATGTTTCTGTGACTGATTAGTCAGTTCTTGGGACTGCAGTAGCCCGAGTAACAAATTTTCTTGCAGATTTTCCAAGTTGTTTTCCAACTTGGTGGACACTGGCAGAGAGATTTGTCAGTTTTCCCTGCCAGGAACAAACCCAACATTCCAACATGTTCTCAGAAATATCTACAAAAACTGGTTTCTACCAATACCACAAAATTTCTGATTAGCAAATATGTGAGTTCCAATTTGAACTAAATGCTGACATTAGCATGCTAATATGCTAATGGTTTTATGAACTGTGTGCTGCATTTTATTAGATTTAAAACGAGCTGTTAAGCCCATGAGGTCAACAGTTTCACTGAAGTCATAGAGTGAGTGAGTTGTACGGTATTTTCTCACAGACTTTTCTCATAGCGTTCTTTGTAAATAATGATAATACTGCCCATAGTGTTTACTGTGTCAACATTAGCACCAAATCCAGCATACAGGGAAACTGTAATACTGTTAGACATTTGATTCAAAACCAATATTCTTCGTCGTTTCGTATCGTTAAAAGTCTTGAACTTTATCAGATACATTTCTAAAATTATTTCATTTTATTTCAACTATTCCAACAGTCATTCCAATATAAGTTGCTAATCATAATATTAAATATTTTATATCATAAATTATGTATATACTATTTTAGGTTGAAGATTTAAATACAATTTCAGTGATTAGGCCCATCAGAGATTATACTACACACTCACTGTGTGTTTTGTACTTGCGTTGTACATCAACTGAGGAATTTTTTTTTCTTTTTACTCAGAACACAATAAACCAGTTCTGTAAACTGCAGCTTCCAAGACTGCTGCCTTTTCCCAAGTAAATTACCTAAAAGCATGCAGGTACTGATCTCTAATTACTGACTGTGATTTGGGAAGTTTAGTTGTGCTAAGCATTTTTTTTATTATACACCGAAGCGTCAGAAAGGGTGAGAGAATTAGGGTATAAATCTGTTTTAGCACAGTATACACCCCATCTGTCATTTGCCTTTCCCAGCCTGGCATACAGGTTCAGGCATGCAGCTTCTTGAGTATGCAAATCAGATCGTACTTATAATAACGCTCTCTTTTTTAAGACGAATGTCTCTGGAGCAGGTCCAACAGCATTTCTTCAATGTCATTCAGAAATTCCCCAAGGACTTAAATCACTTACATCGTCACAGTCTATGTGACGATGTAAGTGTCACATAGACTGTGACACTTAGACTGTGTCACATAGACTATGACACCTTTTTGTTTAGAAACAGCTATTCTGGCAAGTTGATGATAGAAGTGTTGCGAAGCAAAACAACCAACTTTGTTTAAGCCACACGATTGCCAGATGTTTTTTTTTTAATAGCTGTGAACATCCATCAAGCCACTAAAAACCTGTCTTGGGTTAGGGTGGGGTTGTGTTTTTTTAAAAGGCAAATTTTTACCTTTCAAATAAGGTCTCGCTTTTAGCTTTACAGTTTTTTAAGCTTTTCTTTGAGTATTGTAAATATTTAAATAAGTGAAAATTTTATAAAACTGCTGGATAACAACTTACCTTTAACCTTAGATAATGAGAAAGTGGATGATAAGAGCCAGCTAGAAACAAACTAAGTCAAAAGAAAAAGTTTTTCATATGACTCTGTGCCGTCCTGTGAAAAACTGAGTACACCCTTACTACAGATCACCTCTATAAAAGTTTTTGCAGTTTGCTTGCCTGAAACATTCAGTTGTGTCAACACAATACCACAATCTACCCAAGAGTGGACGTCCCCAAAAATTCACCTGATAGAAACTGCTACTTTCTACAGGCATCAATTAGCATGGTAATTGTAAATGGTGCCACATTAACGAATGTCTTGTACAGGCATCGGTAACTGTCATGTAACTGTCATGTAACTGTCATGTAACTGTCATGAAACTGTCATTACGTTCATCACAGTACAATTAGAAGAAGGGTTGCCAAAGCAAAGACTATTCCTTCTCTAAAAAAACAAGCAAATAAAAATCAAACTTGGCCAAAACAAGACATTGCCTATCAACACTTTGTGCTGATAGGCACAGGAGGGGTGATGATTTGGGCTTCTTTGCAGAGTTTTCTAGAGACAAATGTGAGGCAATCTGTCCAACAGCTGAAGCAGTACTCAGTGGTTAGTACAGTTTCTTCACAGCAGTCTTAGAAGTCATAGTCAAGTAGGGCAACTCATAACAGATACAAATCATTCTCGGGGAAATCCCTCGCATAAACACTAACACTAGTAATTCAGTCGTTTACCTCGTTACCGCCAACTCGGTGCCAATGCTGGCACGGAGCCAATTCTGCCTCATGCTTTTTCCAAGCCAGTTCACATTTCTGCAGAATAGAGGAAAAATAATTGTGATTTAACAGATGATGGGTAGTTTTGAAGGAAAATCATAGTGGGCAGAATCAATCCGTCTATCATTCGTGAATTTCTTAAGGTAGTTCTTTCCATGGTCATTGTTTCCTTTATTGGTACTACCACAAATCAAATAAAGTGGAACCACATCTAGATTATGAAAGGGATATATAAGCATCGATTTTTCTTTCATGGTACTGTTCCAGTGACAGCTTTTTTTGCACTGTGGAACTAGTTATGGATCAGATGTCAGTGTGTCACTGACCACTTTTTTTAAGCAAACCTTTTGGGTCGTATTGACATGATAGCATCACATTGTTACTGCACATCCATGACGTCCATCTCCTGTTCCACCACATCCCAAAGGTGCTCGACTGGATTGAGTTTTAAATGATTTGAGGTTTGTGACATGGAGTGTTTTCAAAAGATGGGAACATCGTGTTCACAAAGAGATGAACGTGCTTAAATGATGCTAAATTGGTACTAAGCGGAAATATTCCCCACATCATTACACCACCATCACCAGCCTCAACTGTCGATTAATGGAAGGACAATTCTATGCTTTCATGCTGTTCATGTCAAATTCTGACACTGAGACTCATCAAATCAGGCTTTGTGTTTCTAGTCTTTTATTGACCGATTTTGGTGAGTCCAAGTGAGGAGGGCGGCTACTTTCTGGATAGTTTCTCTTTTTGGACCGTTCTCTGTAAACTCTAGAGATGATTGGTTTCAGTAGATCAACAGCTGATACTGAAACGTGGCCAACCAGGTCACTTAAACCACCTTCTTCATTTTAAAGACTTATTTTTAACTATAGCAAGTCATCTTGATCATGTGCATGTGCTTAAAAGTATTGAGTTACTTCCATTCATTAGATATTTGCGTTAGGGAGCAGTTGAACAGGTGCGCCTAATAAAGTGGCTAGTAAGAATAGTCCACGCACTCGTGCCTAAATTATGGTCAACCTGTTGGAGACAAAGAGCTTTGTTCTATTGTAATCTTTAACATCAATGTAAATAAGGTGCACTGATAAGAGCTATGATGCCGAGTGAACGTCAAAGAGTGCCATTATAAACACCATAACTCTTGTTCTAAAGTGGGTCAGGAACGTTTCCCTCTAGCTGTTAGTGTGTGGGCATGTGTTCTGGTTTCTTATTCATTTTTCCTGGTTTTCATTTAGCCATGGCAACAAGGAAGTTTTCTCTTGTCTGGGAATCCAGTTGGCTGTGAACTTCTTCCTGGATAGAGGCCACACTGAAATCACTGTGTTTGTTCCCTCATGGAGGAAGGAGCAGCCCAGGCCGGATGTTCCCATCACAGGTACAACACTGGGAATTCACGTGCTTTGTTTTGTTTCTCTACTTCCTTCTTTGCCCGACTGTGAAACCTGCACAGAAACCTGAAAGTTGTGGTACAATTTCCATGACAGAACTAGTGAAAATATATATTAAGCTGAGAGAAAGTTGACGCCTTTGATGTTTTTTAAGCAAAAATTTCCCAGAATGTGTTTTAAGCTTTTGATGGGGATTTTAAAAAGACATTTACATTTTTTTTCCCGAATTGCCTGCTATGAAGCTTTTAATGGCAGTTAAAGCAAGAACTCTCAATGTAATCGAGTAGATTACTAGTAGATTTGAAACTAAATGGTAATATAAAAAAGCAGAACAATAAATAATTTGAGAAATTATTTGTAAGTAGTGAACTTAAAACCCAGGCATGTAACTGGCAGGACATTGTTTGACAGAATCAGCTGCTGATTCTCAGTTTACTGTAAAACTCAAAAGGGGAAACTCCACAGACAGTTTTTCCCCATGCATAAAGCTTATCTGCAGCATGTGCTGCAAAAAAATTTTTTTCTAATTTTTTTTGTCTTGCTTTTGTGATACCAAATGATAATCATCATTTCAGTTAGCCTGTGGTGACCTATATTTGGAAGTGACTGCTGATAATGTAGTTAAATAGATAGCTCATGCAGATAAACGGTTTTGTGTTAGGGTGTAATTTCAAGTCTGCAGTTATTATTCAAGATGTTTAAACCTGCCTCCTGGGAAAAAACACAAACTAATATGCAGTCGGGACTTGCTTTATTATAGCTGAATGAGTTAAATAAAGATCTGAATGGGCATTTAGTGATGACCCTGAGCTTAATTTGCGGCTCCTCTCGGCTCCACAAAGATTAAGCTCTTTGTTTTGTTCCTCTAGCCACTCCTTTAGGGTTAAACTGTGCTCCTTCTGCAATTTTTCTAATTATGGAGTTCCACAGGGCTCTGTCCTGGGATGAATTCTATTCACATTATACATGCTTCCCTTGGAAGGCAAGGCATAGCATACAGTGTCATCACTATGCAGATGATACCCAGCTTAATCTATCCATGAAGCCAAATGACACACAGCAGTTAGCTGAACTATAGGAATGTCTTATAGACATAAAGCTGGATGACTTTTAATTTCCTGATTCTAAAACTGAGTTATTGTACTCGGCCCTGAAGATTTTAGAAAAATAGTGTCTAACCAGATATTTACTTTGATGGTCATTTTGACTATGTCCTTGTGAGCACATTAAAAATATGTATGATTGCTGTCTTGCACTTCTTTAACCTCCTAAGACCCAAACTCTTCCACGACATGCATTTTTAATTTCTCTTTGATATTTGGGCATATTGGGGCTCGATCAATGTAAAAACAAAGAATTACCAGGTTGTTTTTTTTTTACCTTATAATGTCCTCGTAAGTGGATATCAGGCCCATGTAGAGCAAAATTGAGTACCCAAAATGTGGTCCTAGGAGGTTAAGACAGGATGTTTGTAAAATTAGAAATATGCTGAAAACTAGTTTGTTCACTTATTCTAGGCTTGACTATTGTAAGTCATTATTATCAGGTTGTCCTCAAAGCTCCTTGGAAAGCCTTCAGTTGATCCAGCGAGTACACTGACAAGGACTGGGAAGCGAGATCATGTTTATCCCATATTGGCTTCCCTTCAATGGCTCCCTGTTAAATCCACAGAAAAAATTCAGAATCCTTCTCCTCATATTCAAAGTCTTGAATAATCAGTCACTGGCTTTATTGTAGTGGCTCATCATTTCTCTGACTTAATGTTTGGCATCCAGATCAGCAAATTCTGCGTGAGCTGGAGAGGAAAAGGATTCTGGTGTTCACACCGTCGCGGCGCTATGCAGGCAAACGGGTGGTCTGTAATGACGACTGCTACATTGTCAAGCACGCCTTCGAGTCTGACGGCATCATCGTGTCCAACGACATGTACCGTGACCTTCAGGGAGAGAAGCCGGAGTGGAAGCGCTTCATCGAAGAGAGGCTGCTCATGTACTCCTTTGTTAATAACAAGTGAGTTTTGCGTTCCTGATACACAAGATCCCTACCAGCTAGTAACCTGAATTAACCAATGAGTGATGGTGTTTGCATTTCACCCCGATGCAGGTTTATGCCCCCCGATGATCCCCTCGGTCGACATGGACCAACCCTGGAGAACTTCCTGCGGAGGGTTCCAAAGACTCAGAAAAAACAGCCGTGTCCTTATGGTGAGAGAGCTTTTTTAAGACATGTAGCGCCATCAGGGGTCACAGTACAGCAAACATGGATCCAAAATACACAGTCAGGGTTAAAAAGAGAGATCTTGATGGTTTCAGCCCTCACAGATTTCAGAATCCAGTATTAAGGAGGCGACACTAAGACAAGTTAAACTTCACAGTGCTTGAGACAACCTACCTGCCAAGTATAGTGGTGCAGTTTTAATTTCAAAGAATGCCCAATGTTGATCAGATTTAGTGTATTTTGTTGCACTTTGTGTAAAATTGATAAAGAAAAAACTATTTTAAGCAGTATTTTAGAAAAATTCCTTACTTTAACAAGATTATGTGCAGACTACTATACATATAGGGCTGTTATTCGACTGTTGCCTAGCCGAGACATTTCTCTGCATGAAAAAAGAAATACTGCTTTGGTGGAGTTATAAAGCCTGCTGTTTATTCATTTTCCAGGGAAGAAATGTACTTATGGAATCAAATGTAAATTCCACCATCCCGAGCGAGCCAAACAGTCCAATCGTGCTCTTGCAGACGAGCTTCGAGAGAGTGCTAAGCAGCCTACTCCTTCTCAGAAACAATCTTCAGCTTGCTCCAGTCCTGTGCCTGGACTCAGCCTCCTGTTGGTGGAGGATATGGCGAAGAAACTGACTCTGGGAAACGAGAGCAGCTCCTTAAAAAAAGCTCATAAAAATGAAAAGGTAGCTCAGGTGAAGGCAAGTCACTGCTCCAGCAAGAAGGCCTCATCAAAGAAGGAGAAGTCCAGCAAACACGCGTCGTCTGATCACAACTCGGTGCAGCACAGCCGCTCTCAGGAGCAGCTGGACTCTGGTTTAGGCTCCATAGACAGCCAGCCGGTGGAAGCTCCTTGGAGTCTGAGTGATCACCAGTTTGGGCTACCGTACAGCAGCAGCCAGCAGTACTGCCCTCCAAAAAGTTCCCCGTGCAGCTGCTGCTCACATGGCACTGCCTCTTGTGGGAGTGCGCCGGCTTTCCCAACTCACAACATCGGGCCAGTGAGCAGCCACAGCGCTGATATGATGCCCTACAGTCTGCCCCACTATCCGAACTATTGCGCTTACCCACTTAGCATGAATCCATACAGCCAACTGACAAATTTCCAGCGCAGCCAAACCCACAGCTTCCAGAGGCCACAGTGGTCCGATCCATTCTGCGGTCAACCGGCGGTGGTCCGCAGCCTCCCGGGAGATCCCTCACACTGGGAGCCTCCTCCAATGAAGCAACCAGGTCCCAGCAGGGAGGAGAGAGAGGTTATACGGAAAAAGCTCCTCGCTATCTTCAGCGCCCAGCTGGTGGATACAGCCATGGACATGTTCCCTCAGATGATGGATCCACAGATGCTCGTGGTCGAAATCCTCAAGTTGCAGAGTCAGCTGAGATGAGACGAATCCAGTCCGAGAACTCGTCTTTCAGTGGAAAGACTGAAGGTTAACATGAGTTTGTGTGTTTTGTATTGTGGTATCCACCTTGATTAAAAACTATTTGAATTCTTTGGAGTTGCCTCGCTGCAGTCTCACGTTAGAGGCAGGATGCAGTTGATACAAATTGTATCTTTATTTAGAAATTTTAGCAAACATGTGGCTTTTAATGCTACTTAATTGGATTAACTGACACTCTTGAGGTCTACCTTTCATAGATACACTTATATAGTCAGATTCAGTCACCAGTGTGTTGTGTGGATGAGGAACACGTTCTCGATATTGATGTCTTTTTGGAAGAACCTGACGTCTGAGAATGACCAACAAGCTCGGAAATGACTGCGAAGGTCGCCTTGTGTGTGTCTCAACAGTATTTAAGAACCGGCTGTGCTGTGCTGAGCTGCGTACTGAAATACCTTTTTGTGTCATATTGGCACTATGCATCTATTGTTTCTAAGACATCACTGTGCAGTGTTGTCAATCAACGTGTCAGGATAAAATATTATGGCTGCATTCTCACATACACTCCCTGCAAATGGTAGTTGATCTCAATTGTCAGAGTTGTTTTTGACATGGTCTTTGAGCCAGAGTTTCTCTGTTTCTGGACTTAATAGTTTTTATTATGTGTGGAATATTGCATGTGATTCCTAGTTTCATAATTATATTTACATCATGTATAAAGTATGCATCGGTTAGCGTTCAGTTTTTAGTTATCCTAGAGTTTTTCTGCTCCAGGCTGTTAAGTCATCCTTGTTTTCAAGGTTCTTTATCTATTGTCCCAGTGTTTGTTGCCCCCCTTCTGTCTCCTTAGTTGGTCATGGTTTTTGTGGTTAGAATTTTATTTTTTGTATTTCCTTTGAGCGTCCAAGTACGGGAATAAAGCTGCTTTATAGTTAATTCTGTCTGTCACCATGTGCTGCACCTGGGCCCTGCCTAACCTGCCATATAGCCGATTATGACAGTTTTATAGTCCCAGAAATTGGATTCTGTTTGCCTGGATGAAGCGTTTTCAGTGGAAGAAGCTGAGCTGCATCCAGATGAACTGATTCAAGTCTGTACTTGGATTGCTGCAAGTTTTATGATGGTTAATGTTCTCAGTTTAGATTATTTAATGTGTTTTTTGTGATATCAAGCTAACTGGAATTTAAAACACACCTCGAGTAAAACAGTAAAACGGTTATATTTATTCCACTTTATTTTACTACATATATTCTGTTCTTTTTATGCTGATACAATGAAAGTTGTTGAAATAAAAATAAACAATTAGCAGTCGAGCTGTTTACATTGTGCTTTATTTACATGCATTTTAAAGACTTGATATATATACACCACTCACTTACCCAATGTGTTTGTAATAATATGGTGAATAACTGTGATAAAGTGGCAAACTTCACAAATACAGTAGCTCTGCAGAAATTCCATTAATCCATTAAGTACTAACGTTTGGAGTCCAACCAGAACTACAAAGATCTAAAACATAAATTATTTCACCTCTAGCTGCTGCAAAAGTAATTTACTTGCAAAATGACATGGGTACAATCAGATGACAATCAGCTGAGTTAGGTCCCTGAGTTGAACTGTAACTGTTGGGAGACAGGTTGGCTCCCACCAACCAACATGTGCAACTGCATTGCAATCGAAACTGGCTGTCCATTGAAGAAGTTGGCGCTTCTGAGTGAGCAGTTCGTTGGCGCTGCTACTTTTTACCAAATTGGGAAGAAAAACCAGGATAAAAATGCAGATTTTTCCTATTTTTACTCTCAAGTTGCCCATCAGAGGTATATATGTCTAAAAATCTGTGTTCATGATCATTTAGATAATGATAGTTCTTGCTTCTTTAAAGAAGTGGTTTAGTTCAGTTTGGTTTTAATTAGATGAGGTCACCAGGAGGTGAATGCAAGCCAATTTAAGGTTCTTAAAAGTGATGTAAATCAACTGCGTGTGAGAGGCTTGTCAGCACAGGTAAATACCCTTAAACACACCCTGTCGAGTTTTGGAACACCTTAAATTTTACAAGTAGAATCTCACTATAGAAACACAAACATCTAGAACCACAGTGCATTTAGAAAGTCTTTAGACCCCTTCACTGTTCCCATCATTGTACACTCTGTAACCTGTTATAAAGTGAAAAAAACATGCTTTTATATTCTTTGTGCAAATGTAGAGGAAATCATTTATTCTCATTTACAAAAGTTAGGCTCTTTCTTTCATCTCTCACACCCCTTGGCATCATTTATAGCTTTGAAAATTCTCTGGTAAGTTCCTCCAGGCTTTGAACACCTGGTTTTGGCCAATTTACTTCATTCATTTCATTCATTTGGGGATGATGCCTTCCTGTTCCAATATGTCCACCAGTGCACAAAGCAAGTCAAAAAAGATGTTTGAGGAGCTTGATGGAGTCCTGACCTCAACCTGATAAAACAACTTTGGGGTTAATTAGAGAGGAAACTGCGAGCCAGGTCTTCTCATCTAACTTCAGTGTCTCACCTCACAAATGCACCTCTGGAAGAACGGTCAAAAATTCCCATAAACACACTTCTGAACCTTGGAAAGACATCCCAGAAGAGTTTAAACATGTATAGCTGCAAATTGTGGACCAACATCATATTCAACCCTATGGATTAAGAATCGGATGGCACTCAAGTTCATATTCTGAGCTGTATTTGTGGTGATGAGGGTCCACAACTGCAGTCACACGATGTCTTGTTTCACTGTGTACCGTACCACTGCGCTTGACTTGAGGTTGAGTATAGTCTGGAGCATGTTTAGCTTCAGTGTATATCACCAAGAGGACATTTAGATAAGACAGACAGCTATAGTGCGGAAAAAAATAAAATGTTTTTTCTGAAGCGGTACAAATGTTCTTTGGCGATTAGAAAAACTGCCGTTCTTGGTTTCATTTTGCAGCCACGCAGCTGCCGTTTACTCAATGTATATTTTGGAGTACTTTCTGAATGTGAATACCAAAGTGTCAGCAGTGCAGGTTAAAACTTGTTCTGCAGCACGTAACCACACTACTGCTTTTGTAGCAGAAAGTAAGGACAGAAAAACCACAAGTGAGTTATGGTTCAGCAAAGAGAACACAAAGCGCACGTTGTTTTCTAATAAAGTCAATTCTGTTCGCAGGCGGACAAGATAAGAATCAATTTTCTAGGTAACAAATGCGGTTGTTGCTGAGACTTCCACCAAAATCAGCTTCAGGCTTTACCGCCCTTAAACAGGAAAACACACTTGAACATCCATCATTTGCATCAAGCAGGTGCTGAATTTAACGAGCAGCGTGGTTGTCCATCCTTTCAAATGAACATCAGTTACACAGGGAGTTTGTTTGGCCACAGGACGTTAGGAAACTCAGGTAACAAGCTGCTGGAGAAAGGAAAACAGTAACCTCTGCTCTGACTATGAGGTCAAAGATTTATGACTCATTCAAGCCCAAACAGTTTTCCAGTGATGTGCTCGTGTTGTACTTTCCCTGCTTTCTTTGAAAGTTAGTGGGGATTAAACTGGTATTAGCTCCCACATATTAAAAATAACAAAAGGAGATACAGTTTGCTTAAAAGCAAAAACAGCTGCACAGAGAAGAAAACAGACCGAAAAACAAATTTTGTTCACAACATACTCCCAGTTTGTTTGTTTGTTTATGTGATCAGGTGTGTAGAGTGGGGTTATCTTAACAATCCTTTAAATTCAGCTTACATCCACAGACGTGTTTAAACTGAATGTAATGATTTATTGGTCAAAAATAGACAAAAATATTAAAATTATAAAGCTACAATCTTACAAGTATATGTATAAAAATTACAACGTGTCACCTCCTCTCTGGTTTAAAGTTTTAAAGTTAATTCAGCAAACTTCATTATACAAATTGTAATCAAATACAGTGTAAAACGGCGCTTGTGTTGCTGCTACTAATGCAGTAAAGTAAACCTGCAGCATCACTGCTTTGAAAGTGACCAATCACATTAGGACCCCTCTTCCTTTGGGCTCCGCCTCCAAACTGTCAAAAGTCAAGTTGATTCAGGTCTGCAGAATTCAGCTTGGACAGCAGAGTTAAGCTTTAAGAATTAAGGTAATATGAAATGATTTGCTTCTTTAGACATAAATAGAATTTTGTATAATTTCTCCAGCATGTCATTCGCGCCCTAAACCCCTCACCTAGGAACATCCGGGGAGCATCCCATTAAGATGCTTGAACCACCTTTACTGGCTCCTTCAACGCTGAGGAGCAGCAGCTCTACTCAGAGTCCTCCTCGAGTGACCGAGCTGAGTGGCCAGGCCTCAACTACTGGGGTTTGCCCAGGCTAAGCTAAAGGAGCAACTACCACCTGCAATAGAGACCGTAAGGGTCCACGAGCATCAATGTCCTCACATTGCTTTGTGTCCTTACAGAGTGGAAACACTGGTAGCAGAGAGCAACTTGTAGCTACATTATGGGACACGCTCATTCAAAAGACCTCAAGCACACACTTAATTTGTATTTTTATATATATATTACCCAAAAGATTTGATGCGGATGGTTAGATTTAAAAGTTCACTGCCCACTATGGGACCCTGTACTTTTGATGACTGGCAAGATTTTTCATGCAGCGCTCCACTTTCCCTTCACTGTTGCACAATTGCAAAACAGAGCTATTCATGGCATATGACCTTTTTGGTGGGTTTTGTTTTTTTCAATTTATGTCTTGCTAAGATGGTGGTAACAAGGTCATGTAGTGATAGCTAATAGGTCATGTCATATTAAAAGGGTTTTTGGGTTTTTTTGTTTTTTGTTGTTTTTTTTAAAAAAAAGGGGAGTTTCTCTTTATCTGACTTGTCTCCTTCCTTCCTGTGGAGAAAAAACTGCATCTGACTCATCAGGTTTGTTGGACTACAGATGACAGAAAACTGTTTTTAATCAAGTTTTATTACCAAGTAAGAGAACTGTTGATTTGGTTGCTAAAAAATACAGAATAATGATGTGAATAATGTGAATAATGAAGCATGTGAAAGGCCCAAGTAATCTATCATGCTTACATGACAGCGTTACCTTGGGGCTTTCAGTTAATTGTAAGAACTTGCACCATCCTTCCAGTTTTAAAATGCCACCATGTAGCATGACTCATGTTGTGTCCACGTCTCAGCATAA